CCCGCTCCTGCCCACCCGCCCACCCCGCACGAACCTGGCCATCCAACACTCAGCAACAACATTAGGTTTGGCCGTTCCTTACAAGTGAATAAACGTAATTGCATCCGATTACAGCACACTAACAAGCTCCCACTTCAGCTGAATAATTGTAATTTATCTTAGACACAAGTGATGCAGCTTAAGTATCTCTGAACATGCTCAAGTGCAGCGCCTCATTAGCTTCTTTTCCTTCTTAATTTCCAGGTAAGCCATTTATGTTGAAAATAACAGATTTAAGTATACATATATTAAAAAATAACATATATATATATATATATATAAAATAATAGATTTAAGCAGTCAATACTTAAAATGCTTTTTTACAGCTTTCACATAGTGTGGATCTGGCTCATCATGGCATACTGACAAATCATACTCCGTGGGATTTTCCATCAGATTGCTGTTAAACTAATAAAATTAAGGACCGAGATTTATTAATAGGGTTTATTTGGAAACATTTCCCTTTGTTTTTCTGCTTAGCTTACTATATACTCTTCCCTTTCCAGCACTGATTCTTTCTTTCTACTATCAAAAATGGAGTGAGTCCGAACTGTTTGTGACCACTTACTTGCTTGTCCTCTAATGATCGCACACGCATCAGAATACCCCGGACACTGCTGAGTCCCTTGTCTGTTACAGTCTTCATCGCTAGAACCTACACAGGTGTAACACTGCAGTGCTTCGCCTGGCATTAAGGAAAAAAAGACCACTTATTATAACAGTCGTGTTTAGAGTTTACAAAGAATATTGTAAAATATCAGCTACACAGTCTCATTTTGTTTAAAGCACATGCAAAAAAAAAAAAAAAAGGCAAAAAGCTTTAAAAAAAATCGATAAAGATTCTGCAAATCTTATCAATTTTTTATTTTTTAGTAGTGGTCTGGATACTGATTTTAAAGATAAAAAACCAGCCACAAGTTGTTATAATCTGCACTTAAAATAATCCAAGAATTTATGTTCTGTAATTGCATTCACACCTTCTTGTATCATTGTCAGAGCAGTCCGCTCTAACAGCTTGGGAGTATGATTTTTCCCCTCTCTGTCATGCTCTTTGGTCCACAGTACCGTGAAAAAGTACGTTGTAAAGACATAAAATCTTACTATGACCCATATTTAATTTTTTTTTTCTAAAATACCAATTCAGCCGAAGGCACAACAGTGTACCTTACGAGTTTTGCTTTGGTTTAAACATTACATTACAACCGTAACTCGATCCTCTTTCTTTTCCTTGGTTCCAACTACACGGTATTTTCTAAGGGACGCGTGAATTTTAAATATATTTAAAATGCCATGCTTCAAACTTGCAGAGCAGAAGGCATGCTTGCTGTCCACAGGGACATTTCAATCTGTTAGCATACATATTTATGTTTACATTCCATAGCAGAGGTGGAATTCTGTTAACCACATACACAAAATCATCTGAAACCAAACCGACCCGGGAGAGAAACCCAGAACAGCAAAGAGGCTCAGCTATGCCTGAAGTCAGAAATTAAAAAGAAATAAATAAGAAAAGGGAGTTGACTTACTTTTGAGTACAAAAAGGGAGCTGACAAGAACCAGGCTGAAGAGTGTCCACATCATGGAGATACAAGAGATGTACCATTAGCCAGAGAAAGCAGTTTGTTTGCTATTAAAGCCTTAATGCTTGTCTTACACACCTAATCCCCTGCAGAGGATAACTTACAGGATAAAGAGGTGTGCGAGAACGCTACTTATCTAGCTTATTCTGGTTGTACTTCTAATCACACATACTTTATCACCACAAACCCTGCAGGCAAATTCTTCCAGTAGCAGGAAGAAGAAAAGAAATTCACCTTTCAGCGACAGACATGCTTCAAAAGCACCACCCCACCATCGCACGTCGCAGGCTCCAACTCACGCAAACGGTCTCATTACACTGGCCTACGGGATTTGCTGGATCGGGGTCAGAGTATTAAAGAGTTTGGAGGATTAAGCCTATGCTTGAGACCTGAGTGGTCCAAATCTAGTGCATATATATATATATTTAGAGAGAGAGCAAGGTATAACGCGCACAAGTAGTATATTCTTGTGACCCACGGAGTGCTCCACGCAGAGACCCGTGAAGTGGTTTCTGTGAAGGAATTCATTAATACAAGCTGCTGTGTCTGGCACTGCACATGGAGTAAGCAAGTGAAATGCATAAAATAGAGCCATACTTATCTTCAACTTTCAACGAAAAAATTTATTTTTTTTTTTTTTTTTTTTTTTCATTTTAAATTTTATTTTACAAATCAGCAAATGCAGATAAAGTTTACACTCCTTAAGGCAAGAGTCCCCATGCAAGTAATACATGTTTATATTAAATCCAAAAGACATCCAACATGGGAACTCATGTACAAAGGGAAGGCTAGGATCAGCAATTTGTAATTTCTTAGAGAACTTGACAATCTCCCTGATACAGGAACTTTGAGATCAACTTGCTATGAATTATACTATGAAAAATGCAAACAATAGCAAGAAATTCTGATAGTCATCTTAGTACTGCATACAATTAAATCAACTTTATTTAGAAAGAAAATACAGTAGTGCATACGAAAAAGTGAAAATATAACCTGTCCACATAAATGTATGGACATCAGTGTGCCAATGGTCATATTGCACTCAATATCGAAGTCCAGAAATTTGGTTAAAAGTTAGCTTTTCCCCATTTTGGCAATCAGTTCATCACAAATCTTTGTTAATTCTTCTATCTCTTTATTCTGGAAAAATAAAAGATAGTATTAAGTATCATGAAAAATATTATTGCGTTAAGGTGAGGTTGGTTTTGAAATTATCCAACCCTTGGGAGAAGTGGTGGACCATTAAGTTTTCTCCAATACTGGTAACAATATCTATAGATATATCCATATATATATATATAAATATGCATACATATACATATAATGCAATCAAACAATATACTTATTTCCACATACAGCTTCTCTGACTTCAATAAATACAATTTAGCACTAAAGCAGACAGTTTTATAGCAGTCATTCCTAGCGCATGATAATAATATACAGTGTAAATTTGTTTCTAGGCTGCACTTTTACAGCATTATTTTCACCCTGTTTTCCAGGAGCTCTAAGCAAGGAAAAGCTGCACTATTTTGAAAGCAAGCTCCTCTGCCAAGCTAGAGAACACGCGATATAAACAGGGATTTCCTACAGTCATTTCTGCCCTAAGCTGTACAGATTGGTATCTGATCATTCTCTCTGTGTTAACAGTGGAGGCACATAAGCTAGAACTGCAATTACAGCTAAAATGAAAAGTGGAAACAAAAATTGAAAGAATTAAACCCGAGAACCAAAGCAAAGCAAGGGCCCTGCCTGGCACACAGATGCACACTGAGCTCTGAGCGAGCCTGGATGGGCCCGAGCGCAGGTCCAGGGCTGAGATCAAAGCCCGACAGAGGGGTCTGTTTGCCTGAACCACCCCGTGCAGGCAGCTGATTTTGTTCTAAGCTGATTTTGCTCTCCGGGGGCCGGGGAGCTGGACGTGAGGAGAAGATGGGTCCTCGAGCAGACCCTGGCTGCAGTATGAGCTCCAGAGGAGAGCTGGATGGAGTTCCCCTAACCCTGGGGAAGTTTCACTTAACTCTGGTTATCCTGTTGACTTCTGTGTTAAAAGAGCTGAATTGCTATTTACCTTTTGTTCCAGTGTTCTTTCCAACGCGTCCACCTTCAGCTGCTCTTTACGAAGGCTGGCCTGGTATGCTGCTTGCTCTTGCTGAGCCTTGCCTCTCACTTGTGCAATTTCAGCATTGGCTCTAGAAAAACACAGATTTTTGTCACGTCAGGTTCTCTACAGGAAAGGACAGTGGGTACTGAAGGATGGACTGCATCTTAACAGATGGGTGCTGAGGGCAGGGCTACTTTCTGAATGTCTTTGAAAGTATTCTGAGATTTGTCCCTGGAGACTTCTCGTAACTCCTTCTCTTGCTCAGAGGAGGCTGCAAAGTTTTTTCTTAATGTTTGTGCCGCTCCCTTCATGCTTCTCTCAGATATCTGTGCTGGGGTCACAAATATCACTTTGGTAGAAGTGTTTTATGGCAGTTTTTAAACCTGATCTCCAGCTCTTACAGATTAGACTCACAGCTGGGATAACAGCTGGAAAGCAAATCCCAGTCTTACTTTGATTTAGGCACTGATCAATCCTAGCGACCCTTAGGAAACATCTCTTGGGTCTAGGGGACTGTAATACAAGCCCTGAATGTAACCCCTAGAAATTATCACAGAATGGTTTAGGTTGGAAGGGACCTTAAAGATCATCCAGTTCCAACCCCCCTGCCATGGG